TAGAACTTAGCCTTCTGTGCTGTACATAAATCATTATAATTGGTCAAAGAAAACAAGGAGTAACCCTGTGATAATACCCTAGTGAAGACTGCTAGATAATTGGCGATTCTAATTAAATTTATGACGTGGCGAAAAGCAATTGGCTAGTACACAAACAAAACCCTGCTGCATTTCCGTGAAGTTGGAGAGAGCGACTCCGTATACACCTGGAGACCTCTAACATAGGTGTTAGAGTAAACTGACAATTTGATCACTTGCCAGTTCGCCCCCCCCCGTCTTCAACCTTATCTCAGACGTAATCGACGACCGCCGGCCCGACCTTCTGCCCAACCACTTTTGCGAACTGACCTACTTTGCAGACCGACCTCATGAACTCTAAGCTGTAACTAACCAAGTATCTCTGAGCTCCGTCTTTCACCACCTTGACGGCGTGAGTAAATAATCTTGCTTTGCAAACGATAAGCGTCCGCCTAATTAATTCCACTCCAAGCGTCACAAGTACCCGCCTGACGGCCGTCTAAGGCCCCCAGACCGACCCTCTGCCGACCACTGCCCGGGTGGGAGTCAGGGAGAGCTGCTGGCCGGCTGCCCTGGGTCCCGACAGAACCCAGGCATCCTGAATCACATGTTGGTGTGCTACTCAGTAGACCATTCCCTGCTCTATTTCTTAATCTTCTTCACTTTCATGTTCCTAGAAAACAAATGCCAGTAGCAAGAGAAAATAGCCCTTTCATTGACAATTCCACAAGCAGGCTGAAGGGCATGGCCTCCACAGATGCTGAAGGAAGGTGATAGGCCAGTTTCATGCACCACTAGTTAGGCCATACTATAAAAGCTATTACATTATGGAAGGCTCTGTACATGCCAACTACTCTGGCACAAGCAACAAAACTGGTCATGAGAGGACAGAACAAGGCTAGAACATCCCTCCTATCAGGCCTGTGCTGCCATAGGTAAAACCTCAAAGAGAGTCTCATTGTCCAAGACAGCGTCTCCTACATGACTGAAATTTTAGAAGTGTCCATGAGCATCTACCCAACTTCAGTGAATTGGGGGAGGCCTGGAAGCCCTCCTCAGAGCTGGATGGGCCTGGTGGCAAGCAACAACTCACTGAATGGTGAGGAGGGTCTGGATCCTGGCAGTTCTGGGAAAACAACACAACCAGTCCACAGCCCTTCCAAGGCAAAAGACGCCAGAGTCCTACTTAATCATGAGGGCCATGGCCCTCCTGCCTTACACACTCCTCCCATAAACAGGATTTTATTGAGACGGATGTCTTCAGAGCTCTCTGAGACCAAAGCAAGTGGCTGATGTTCATTCAGAATCCATTTGCTATGCTGTCTAGAAGGTAAGGTGATTTTAAATGCCATGACAGTCACATTAAGAAATGTTACTAGCATGCCCAGTAGCTACTAGACTTTTCACTCTGTTTGTTTTAAATGTGCAGTGACGCTCTGAATTATTTTTAGAGTACACAATTTGGGATACAGAGCAGTTTCCTCCCAACCCATCCTGCATTTCCTGTCTAAAAGTAGGATGATGCCAGTAGGTCGTGTGACATTTTTACATCTTGTCAGGGTAATTGCCCAGCATGACAGTTACAATAGATGAAGTATCAGAGGATGCTGTAGAAACAGACTCTAAAAATATCAGACTGGACAGATTATTGTGGATATTTGTATCCACTTCCATTTTCATTTTCTTTCCTTTTTAATTGGGCTAATGTCCCCTGTATAAAAGACCTTTCACAAGAGACATGAAGAGGAAAAAAGGCCTCGTTTTTTCTTGTGCTGAAAATTTGAACACTGTTCCTAAAAATCATCTTCCTATTTAATAACATGTAGTTGGCAGCAACTTCAGGGAAGTTGTGGAAGCCATGCCCTCAAAACAGACAGGGGCCACAGAATGACTCGGGTACAGGTGACAAATGTTAAGAACAGGATAAGAAAGGTGTCAGTCAGAGTTGAAACGAAGGATCTTCAGGGAAATTTTAAAATGGGAACCCAGGACAACACCACTGCTCTGTAGAGTTCAAGGAGTGAGTGGATACTACCTGAGGCCTCACAGCCACAAAGGCCCCCAGCTGATACATGTCACACTTTCCCCACCTTACCTAATGCCAGGAGGAAGCTGACAAGGACTTTGAGGCTGAATGACAGACCAGCAGGCCAAAATCCTCCATCCACACCCAGGACAAGCAAAAGACCTCAGCAATGATCAAGCCAAGCAGCATGGTGAAGGGACACTTCAGCCTCTACATCATTTCATCTTAGAGGCATCATCAGAAGCGTGTCAGTGATGATTAACTCATTTCTCATTGTGTTCTGTCCAGACCAACCCCTGCCCCTCGTTACCAGGTGGAGGCAGGAAAAGAGGCACCCAACAGCCTGAGAGCAGCTCCAGCTCTTACTACAACACAAAGACTGCTTCCTCAGCTAGTTTTCTGCATCCAGGACCAGCAGCTGCAAGACTTGAAGCCAGACCCTGACTTGAACCCTCCCTTTGAATACTGTGTTGAAGCTGAAACAGTGGGGTTGGTAGGGTTGCTAACTCTGACTGAAGCTATTCTGGGAGATTTTTTTGTTCCAACATGACATAATGTCATTAATAGGGGTGCACCAGTAGAGTTTTTGGGCCAATACTGATGGCCAATTTTTAACGAGCCATATCATCTGATACCAATCTGATTGCTGATATGCAGCTTGGCAGCATGGAAAGCAGCATCCAGCTGGTAAGTCTGTTGTGAGGGGAGGAGTGTGCGGGAGGCAGATCGAGGCCCCCGCGGTGAAGGAGGAAGTGGGGCTGAGGCAGGGGCAGGGGCTGCGCAGACAGGGTGGAGCATGGGACAGAGCCATGAATGGCTCGTCTGGGTGGCACAGGGGGGCAGCTCGTGCCACTACGCTCCCCAGGAGGGCATGGGGGCATGTGCCCCCGGATCTGCGCACAGGTTGAGGGCAGACTGCTGCTGCATGCTTGGGCCAGGGCACCAGCAAGCTCTTCCCAGCAGGGGCCTGGGCTGGGTTGTGCTCAAGGCAGGCAGCAGTGACACTGGAAGGGAGGCTACAGGGGGGTGCAGACCCCTCCAAATTCACCATAGCCCCCATCACAGCATCACTGCCACCTCCCCCAAGTGCAGCCCTGGCCCAACCCTCCCTCCAGGAAGAGCCCGGCACTGCCCCCAACCCCAGCCTGCAGCAGCAGCCTGCCCTCGCCCCGCATGCAGATATGCAGATCCAGGGGCACACACCTCCCATGCTCTCCCAGTGTGCGTGCAGCAGTGGGAGCTGTCCCCACTCCCTGCATTCTCCAGACGAGCCGCTCTCAGCTCTGTCCCACGCTCCACCCCAGCTGTGCAGTGCCTGCCCCTGCCCCAGCCTCACTCCCTCCTTCACCGGGGCATTTATTGGTGACATTATCAGCCACATCAGCAAAAAAAACCAAACAGTTGCCGATACTGTCAATTTTCCTTATATTGGTGCTGATCCAATATGGGAGCGATGTATCAATACACCTCTAGTCATTAATTGTACTGTTCAATCTGTTCACAATATCAATTTACTAGATTGCTTTCAATAGTCACCAGGAGATTGATACCAATCCCAGGAGACTCCTGGCCAATCCAGGAGGGTTGGCAACCCTAGGGGTTGGTACAGGGCAGATTTAAAGAGCCAGTGTGTATTGGAGTTCAGCAAAGCCCAGGATCTCCATCAAGGTAAGTTTCCAAGTGCCCCAAGGGCCCTTAGATTGTGTCATTGGCAATCTATTTTGGGCCTTTAACACTTGTTGCTCATATGTAGTATGGTGTGGGGAAACCAGTTGGGAAACGCTGGTCTAAACACAGACTGGGTCAGGGTTTGGGAGCCAGGTTACCAGATCTAAGGAGGGAAACCCTGCGGCAGAGTCCAAAAACACAGGCCAGGTCAGAGTCCAGGAACTGGATACCAAATTACCAGATCCAAGGGAAAATCCACAAGCCAGAGTCCAAAAACAGCTAAGCAGTGACAGGAACCAGGAAAGCCAGAGCACAGGAAGAGAGAGACTTACCAAAGCAGACCTTGACTTAGAGTCTTTTGCCATAGCTGGAGATAAATGAAGAAGCTACTCTCCCAACAGCCAAGCAGGAGGCCCAGACAGTGGCCAGCTGGAGTGAGTGGGGTTTGGGCTGCCAGTCAAAGCCTCAGGCAAGTGTGGCCCACTAGGCCATTGGCCCAGGCTGGACTGCCTGTCCCTGACATGGTGGCCCTCTTTCTTGGATCTTGTGAGTGTATTTTTACAACCTTTGCTGTGGCAGGACGCTGACAGCCCCTGTCACCCTGATTTATCTTTGGCAGGTTAGGGTGCTATTGGTGTTTTTGGGTACCTTTTAGTTGTGTGACAGGATTGATTTGTATGATTTCAGAAATAGCATAGACAATTTCTCATATGGAACGATTTGGACAGGGATGAGTCTGCAGTGAGCAGGGAGCTGAGCTGGATGAATTGGGCTTCCTTTCAATCCTACTTTTCTGTGATTCTGTAAGTTCATGCTGACTCACAAGTCTGGATAACAACTGCAGAACATGGGTACATTCACACTGCAAATATCTCATAGTAACAGAGTGTTTCCACCAGCAATTTCGCCTTCTCATCCCCATGACAGATGCCAGAAAGAAAGTCTGGCCATAAATCTAGAAACTCCAGGGTCAGGTTTGGGGTGGTATAGTTCTATACAGACAAGAAATAAATTAGAGAACGATGAATGCATGTTGTTTTGAAAATATACAGCTACATAAGTGCCAACAGCTGTCAACTAAGGTAGGGGTGCTCACCTCTGGTCCACGGCACCATGTCATCCAGCCCACAGGACTTCCCCTGGGTCTGAAAAATTGGCAGTGGGCAAGTGGTGGCACTACTCTCCTACTGCCAAATCTCTGGACCTGTGAGGACCCCGAGTCCTCCACAGGGCTGGGTAGGGGCAGTGCTGGGCTCCCAGAACACAATTGGGGCATTTTTCCACTTACCCATCTGGGCATTTTTCCAGCTTGTGGGTCATGATGATGAAACTGAAGGACCAGAACTGTTACCACCACAGAGAGGCCAACAATGACCATGATGCTTGCAAAATACTGAGCTGCAATTAAAAAAAAGAAAAGAAAGAAAAAAGCAGAGATTAATTTGCTTACAAAGCTCAAGGCAAAATCTGCAGTCCAGAATGCTGTGTTGTACCACCTAAGCACACCTGCCTCTTAACTGGACTGAAAATACTGCAGAGTTCCTGCAAAAAATGCCTGGATTTTTTTCTCTTAGTGGCTTTTCATCACAAAATGGATACTTCTGGATCTCGGCCAACTCTATTATGAATAATTTGTAGATAGCACCCAGAGACCCCAACCAAGCTCCATGTATCCATTTGACGATACCAACCTCTCTTGTAAAGCATTCTGAGGTCTACCAATTGAAAGTGCTATACATGTGTTAAGTGTTACACCTTAGATACACACATGGCCTCCATTATTAACAGAGCAGCTCAGAGTCTTCAGTGCACATACGTTCCCCTCCCCCCAACCCCCTCCGCAAGGTGAGCAAGAAACAGATCCAGTGAAAGGATTAGGTGCAAGGCCTGTGGGATCCAGAGTTAGGAGTTGTGTTCTCCATGTGGCATATAGGGAGAGGTACCCCAGAAGGCTGATCCAAAAAATCCTACAGGCTGAGGACTATAAAATAGCTTCTATAAGAAGAAATGGGCACTGAGCCCACAATTTTGGAGTTGTAAGCCTATATAAAAGGAAAAGACAACACAGATTTAATAGTGTAAAGCAGCAAAGGACCATAGGAGCTAATTAAGCACAGATTTAATTGCGCCAAAATGCCAGGCAGCATTACAGTCAAATGGTGCAAACTGAAAATGGAAAGCATTATTGAAACTGTAGATCGTGAGCCTCCCAACCTCCACCCCCATCCCCAGTAGGAGCTTGGAGGGAAAGTGGAGATTTTAATGATGACTCGAAGGGGAGTTCTGTCCCAGCCCTGTTCTGCTGCTGCTGCTCCCCATCAAGGCAAAGATCATGTTAACAGCAATGATTAACATAAATCATTATGTTGTCTTCACATGGGGATATAGCAGTTACAAGAGGCAGCACAGCTCATTTAGCCATGGCAAAATGAATGATGCGGACAGATTAAAAGAACCATCTTGTGGACTAGGAGAATAGACAACCCTCTCTATTACAATGATTTATTAAATGTGGAAGCAAAAAGGTAGTTTGACGATGGGTGTGAAAAAGAGAACAAACAGTGAGTTCAGGATTTAGACAAGTTTGCTGTTGACACCTGCTAATGAACATAGAGAAAAGTGGACTGGAGCTGCTGGAGAATTTCAGTGGGGCTGGGGAAGGAGTTTTCTGATGCTGTCTATGGGTGAGCATAGGAAATGAATAACTGGGCCTAGGCCTGTTTGTCTCTTAGTTTGGGATATTTGTGCTAAAGTATTGTTTTGAGTTTAGAGATAATATCATCATTGTCAGGTGAAAGAACTGTATCAAATGTGACAGGGACATGGTGGGGCCACCCTGACCGGAACCATGGTTGTGGTGTGGTGTGTTGGTAAAACTAGGTTGAAGGAAAGATTTTAATTCTGTATAAGAAATGGTTCCCAGAGGGAAAGGACTGCTATGGGCTCATTCAGAGCTGACTTGGCTCCAAGGCAGTAGCAAGAGCAGAAGTAGCAGAGAACCAGAGATAGAGGGCTCTACTGATGGCTTTTCTACCCAACAACCATCATCACAATCACTTTGTCTGGTAAAGCCTGGAGCAACCCAACCCATACTGGGCTTTAAGTGTGCTTGCCCAAATTTTTAATTCTGCCAACCTTTGGCAATCAACGTGAGTAGGACATTGAGGGGGGGTAGGACATGGGGAGCAGAGCAAAACTCATGTCATGTGTATGTGTTAAGCCAACGCGGGGTCAAAACTGCAGGCATACTAGCCCCTGCTGAGGCCAGAAAGCCTGCCAAGTTTCAAGGAGATAGGTACAGGGAGTTTGGGGGAACTGTACCCTAAAATCCTAAAACCAAAAGTCATGTCACGTATACGTGTTACGCCACAGTGGGGTGAAAACTGCAGGGGCGGTAGCCTCTGGTGTGGCCGCGAAGCCTGCCAAGATTCAAGGAAATAGATGCAGGGGTTTGGGGGAAACTGCATCTCAAGCTGCGGTCAAGCAAAACTCATGGCATGCGTGACACTGTGTGTGTTAAGGTGCAGCAGGGTGAAAGCTGCAGGCCTGCTAGCCCCTGCTGAGGCCACAAAGCCTGCCAACCCCCAACCTTTCAACTACTGCAGGCCTAGCTCCTAAGCCCTGCTGCGACTGCAAAGCCTGCCAGCTGTCAAGGAGATAGGTGCAGGGGGTTCTGGGGCCCTGCACCCCCAGCTGCTGACAGGCAAAACTCATGACATGGGTGCTTGTGCAACTGCTGCCTCTCATCAGGCAGCGGGACTGAAGATCCCCTATCATTTCCACCACAGACCTGGGGGTAATAATTGACCACAGTATGAACAACAGCTGGCAGTGCAATGCTGTAGCTAGCAGGGCCAACAATACCCTGGCATGCATCAATTGATGCATCTCCAGCAAAACCATTGCAAAGAAGTGATTCTCCTGCTCTACTCGGCTCTTCTCAGCATTGGTGAGACTGCAGCTGGAGTCCTGCGTCCAGTTCTGGGCTCCACACCTTAACAAGGACATGGTAAAGCTTGAGAGAGTCCAGAGAAAGGCTAACCATATGATCAGAGACTTGCATGGGAAGCCATACAAGGAAAGGCTGAGGGATCTGGGACTCTTCAGCCTGAAAAAGAGAAGGCTGAGAGGGGACTTGGTAGCAGCTTACTTGGTAGCAGAAGCATACATCTAGGGCTCAGTGAACAACTGTTCACCACGGCACCCTTGGGGAAAACTAGGAGCAATGGTCACAGTCTGGACACCCTAGTTGTGAAGTAGTTTTTCCTAATGTTGAGCCTGAAACGAGCCTGAAACAATCTTCCAGGAGTTTGTGAAACTTCTTGAAACTTGGCACACATCATGCCCTCAGAAGCAGCTACCATTCCTGCAAATTTCATCAATATCTGGCCAGAAATGACAGTTATAGCCTGTTTTGACCTTCCCCATTATATCCTATGGGAAATATAATGAGGAAATGTTGAAACAGGGTCGAAACAACAAAATGTTTCGACGGAACAAAACAGAACAGCCATTTCAACTCAAAACAAAAGTTGAAACAAAACACTGTTTTGTTGAAACGTCAAAATGCTGGTTGAAACGGAACACTTCTGTTTCGCACAGCCCTAATACATAGGATACATACACACCCAGAGGAAAACCATGGGACAGACACAGGACACACAGGATGGACACATGCAGAATAAACAGGACAGACACACACAGAGGGCACAGGACACACACACACAGGACAGACATACACAGGACAGACAGAATGAACACTCACACATGTACATGCACATGCACACACACCACCCAGGCCATCTGTTAAGTTATATATCTCATAACAGCTTATTGGAACACACATTGCTCTGGGTTTGTTTGGTTTTTTAAAATACTTTATAGTAGATGTTTGATTTTTAGTATATGATTTATTTCTTTATCTATAACTTGTTAAAATGATATCTTCTGAAAGATGTTGTGTGTGTGGCCCTTGACAGCTCACTAAATCTCATTAAGTGGCCCTCCAGCCCAAATAATTGCCCACCCCTGGGCTAAGGGAACTGTAAACAGGCCCAGGAAGGCCAGAGGTGGTAGAAACCAGTAGAACTGAGCAGGATCCTGGGAAGGGCTCTTAGAAAGGCTCACCCCCCTGCAAATCAATTGTAATAGAGTTTTGGTCGTTGGATTTTGTGCTGTGAGGCATGGGAGTGACTGAATGGGGCAACGAGGACACTGAGGGCAGCTGGGGACAGTGCTGCCATCAAAAAAGGGACGTTAGAGGCTGGGGATTCAGCCCGATGGTCTAATGAACTAAACTGACCTGGGGGGCTGAGTGCCAAAGAGACAGAGTCAAGAAATCACTCTGGTGGTCTGCGTGGGGCAGGCTCCTGAGTTTTAAATAACATCTAAGGCATGGCAGGAAAGCACAGGGAGGTACCCTCATTAACCAGAGAGGAGAAGAGATAGGATTATAGTGGCTACCAGGAGGCACCACACCTGCCTTTAGATGGCACATCCTGTTATGCTGTCCTATTCAATTGTGTGCATATACTGAGTTCAACTGATAGCAGCATTGTCAGGAAATGTGCTCAGGAAGTGGGGGTTGGAAAAATATTAGCTTTCCAGCAAAAATCCTGGGGCAGTGCACTTTGATACACTGGCTTGGCCACTGAGACTGCCGGACAGGGTTTCCCAGAAGGAATTTTGTCTCTAAGGGGAGAAGGTAAATAAAAAGACCCCAAGTTTAAAGAGGCAGAGTTTTAAGAGAGGGGCAGCTAATGGAAACTGGGTTCTTGAGAAGCCAGAACCTGCTGCTGTGTAGAAGCCTAGATGAAGCCAAATCTGCCAGGATCTGCAGTAGAAAGATGTTTAGATGGTAGGTAAGGTAGAACATTTGCTTTAAGAAGGCTTTTTGGGATCACAGACTCTCAAAGTGAAGAACATAAATGTCCAAAGCTGATCAGACCTGTCCGAGGTGAGAGTGGCTGAGGCACAGGGCAGTGCATCCCAGGGCCTAGTCACAGAGTCCAATCTTGAGAGAGAAGGCCTCAGGCCTGCAGGGTGGTGCACTCACGGGGATCACGAATGTGTATCACCTTTCACCTGGACCATATCCAGCAGTGCTCTTCTCTTGTAGTTAGCTGCAGCATTTAATCACATCTGCTCCCCTCCTGAATATACTAGAGCAAAATCTCCCCCATCCTTTAAGAAAACTATGACAAGAAAAAGGCGTCTCTTGTCCTGTCCTACATACCACCTCCCAAAGAGCCACAACCTAGTGCCATTGAGCGCTTAGAAATTACCCCTCCAGCTGGCTGCCATAAAGCCTCTGTCACTGACTGACAAACCAGCCAGGGGTCTATGCTGCCCCTGTTGAAAACAAAAAACTCTAGAGCACAGCTTCCAGGGCTGTTCCT